CTCGTCAACAGCCGGAGACTTTCGGAGAGAAGGATAGCCATTGAAGTGAAGCTTGCCCCACCTCGGCAGAACGCCAGGTCCTTGGAGGTGGGTGATCGGCTTGACAAAACCCAACGCAGTTTCACAAGGCGATGAAATAAAACCCCCGCACACTGCTGCAAAGAAAGTCACAAAGCAGAGGCGGGAACTTGAACAGAAATAACATGAGGAGGCTGCGACGAAGGTGTTGGATCGCTGACGCGACAGCAGCAAGGGGATTGGGCGCACAAGCTCCCTGGAAGAAAGGACAGAAGTATTGCAGCAGGAGGCCCTGTAACACGCGTCGCGCCTGCGAACGTGGAGCTGAGGTTGCAGAGGTCAATGAGAGAGAGGCGACATGGCAAGTCGGCGGGTTTTTGGATCGCCAAAGCTTTTGCTTGCCTGCTGGTCGCCTTCACCCTCAAGATCTTCGCGCACCATGTCTTTTTGCCCGAGAAGGATATCAGCGCAGTGATCTGGATGCGCACGCGAGAAGCATGCCGACACAATAGAACTTCACAGACCACCATCACTGCAACAAGTTCAACGAGCTTCTGGGTAGTCAAGACACAAAAAGGATGCCCCGACGAACAGGTCCAAAACTGGAACAATATGCTGCACAGCAGTCTGAGCCTTATGAAGAACGTTGGCATCAAAGCCCGGCAGCAGAAGGACTGCCAGATTGGAGTCCGGCAGCCAGCGTGTGCTGAATTTCGAGTTGCGTAACAAGATGGGATGCACCGCAACGAATTCTACTCACACCGCAGCCGGAAAAGCAACATCGAAGAAACGAACTGATCCAGTTGCGGATTGAATTTTCTGCCTGGCGCCGATTTCAATCAATATTTCACCTCTCTTTACCGGTGTTCATGCCACAATGCAGCATGTGCATTACATGACATGTAATGTCCTTTTTCTCTGTTGCACTTGGGCTTACAGGGTCCTTGAGACCGGTAGCGCTGCGACATTCCGATCATGCGCGAAAAGGCTTTTTCAGATCCAGGTTGTGACCCACAGGACTTCGTGTGTCTGAGGGTCGGTGAGGCTGTGAACCCTGCGCTACATCAATAGGTACATTGAATTGTAGAAGCTGTTTCCAAAAAATCGTTCAATGCGCATTAGGTGGAGCCTCCCACTTCGCGATCGTCGATTGGATCGTCGGTAGTGTCCGCGATGAGAACTGTAAGAACCTCTGACAATTTCAAGCGCTGAAAGCAATGTGGGAAGCTTGAAGAACTGATTTATCTAGCAAACTCTGATGACATAGAGGAAAGGCAAAAGGTCTTACATAACACTCAGAGCCCTGCGACATCTGAATCTATCACTGCCTTGAAACAAAAGTGCAAAGGCGCGAAAGAGCAAAAGACCCGGAACACGGAACACATGCAACATGATCAAGACACCATTTTGCTTGGCAAGTTGCTGCGACGTCTGCGTGATCTCGATCTGCAGCAATGCAGGAGATTGCAGCGACTCTGAGCCCTACTATGCAGCACAAGGCACACTAATAGAAAGATATGGTTGGAATAGTTAGCTACGTACTGGTAAGAGATTGGGATCAAAAGGTCTCATGTTTGCTGATTCTGATTGGCTCGAACATCCGGCTCCAAGCTGAGCACTTCCTTCGCTTGCGGGAATCCCTTCTCCTCCTTCGCCTGCAGTGCAGCAGCTCTGCAATGCTTTCCTTGTGGAATCTATATATATACTATTCAAGCCAGTTCTCTGGTCCAGCCTCGACGAGGATGCCTTTCCTGTCGATCTCTCGCTGTAAACAAAAGAACATATGCGGTTGCGCGGTTCCAGCGTTTTCCTGCCTTGTCTACTTCGTCGGGTCCGCCCTAGTCAAATGCTTAAACGCTGATTGAAGTTCCCTCAAAATCTATGTAGCTGTGTCGATCATGCGAAGGATTGTATAATTGTCTGCATTTGTGCATGTTGGTTCATTGCTTGCTAGACCAAGTAAGATCGCTAACCCTTCTACCCTTTCCTGACGAAAAGAGCCACAGTCGTCTAACATCGCCCCAGCCTCGCGACTTGGACCGTTTGGGTTTGGTAGATGGACTGGAGGATGTTTTCCGTCTTTCGCTTCTTTTGCTTCGAGGACTTCTTTCTTTCCGACTTGACCGTTTTTTTTTCTGCGAGGATTGAGTATCACTCGCACTTGTGCCTCAGCCCGATGCGACCGGATAGCAAACAGACAGTCGGATGCTGCAGGACCTGAAATGAGTGATTCGTTTTGAAGAAAATTGAAATATAGACGTGACATGGTATACATGCAGGTACTATATATATATGGTGAATGTCACAAACGTGACACACGTTTGAGGTCTTCGCGCTGAGCATCACTCTTCTGACTCTTCGAACTCTTCTTTGGAGCCGAAGAGGAAGCGGAAGACACGTCCTGTCCACACGTGGACAATGACACGACGAAGCCACAAATCAAATGTACATACATTACGCAGCTTCCCAACAGGTCCTTTGCCGCGTCACTCTCATTTGAAGTGTCTGCTTCTTCAATAACCTTGAAAGCATTGTGATATTGAGCAAATATATAAAGAGTTTTGCTTTTCAAGATAAGGTTGAGGTAGCTCCTTCCGGAAGCTGCCTTTGGTGATTTGAGAACTGAGGGGAGCACTTTAAAGCCAAGTGTGTTTAAAACAGCTATTTCCTCAGCACTTTCTACTTCGTCCTATCGAATTGTCGGCTTTGCAGGTCATACCTCAAGTCTCCTAAGTCGATGAAAGGCACTGTCCTCCTCGAGAGCAGCCAGAGCTTTCTCGCAAAGTAGGGTGTGCGATTCCTTTGCAAGTCTCACATTGAGTCAGGTCGCCACTCAAAGTTTAAGAAATGGCCGCTGGTTGGTCTCGCATGAAACATCTGATCGGGCCTTCTGTGTCTTGATGTGCTCCCAGGCTGCTAGCACACCCAAGCCTTCAATCAATGTTTAAATTCGCAAGTCCTAAAGGGGTTCTTTGCGCGAAGTACACTCTCTGCATCTGTCTGCTCAGTCGTCCACAAGATGGGAAAAGTGCTCTGCAGCCTTGCAATCATTGGATTTGGATATAGGCATGCTGACACCGGTTGGGCCAGTGTCTTGACTTTGTCTAAAGGTTCCTGCTTTGCACGAAGCAACAGGAGAGTTGCGAATGATAGGAAGCCAAGGAAAAATATGGGAAGAATGGGCGGGACGGGGCCCAGGCCCTCTTCTTAGACTCTTCTAATGTCATCCACGGTCGGACCAGTAGGAATGAATCAAAGGTGTTTTGTTCAAGCACTTGCAGGGAACAAAACCAACAATCTCTTGAACAACGCGCACTTCAAGGTAAGAGTGATCTGGAAGCGCGTGATTTCACAGGGAATGTCTGCAAGGCACAAGTGTCGTGTGTGTGTCACACTCTGTCCCAAAGAGGCTTTGTTAAGTGCAGGGGGCACAGGCCCATCGTGGATACCTGTGCCAACGAAGCTGTTCCACGATGGGGGGTGCGGAGATTGATCACCTTCGTGTACCTGCTGAACTTTCTACACGCTGTGACTCCACTTTCCCACGTTTTGATGCCATGGTTCTTGCATGATACTTCCCCCAAACCCTTTCTTGCAGCTGGGCCGCGCTGACAGTTCGACACCGCCGTATTCTGCAGACAAGTGAACCGATTGTTCAACAATTCAGTTGCGCTGACCGCTTCACCTTTCGTTTCCCTCATTCATTTCCGCGTGGAATTGAGTTAACTGCAAACCCATTGTCTAAGTGTGTAAGGTAATGAAGGCTACACAGCAAGGTCCTATCAAGCGACGGAAGCATACTGCTCTCCAGCAACCTCAACATGTCTAGACCATTTCTCTGAAGCTTCTCCCTTCCAAACTTTCTATATAAAGTCTTCTCTTAAAACTCATACTTGTAGCTGCTACAGAAACTTTTATGCATTTCTACTTTTGCGAGGGAGGTTATACTGGCAAGTAGAAGTGCCTACCACACCGGTAGTTGTAATTTTCCTGGGCATGTACATGTAGTCCTTCTTGTACTCCCTGATGGCCAGTATTCCCAACCAAAAGCAGTGTCCATCTCTAGGAATAAAGCTGCAATTGTTAGACCATGCAATGCAGTTCAGCAATTCTTTCTGACCATTTCAATTATATACCCAGGCCCACTCCTGAGGGCACTCTCTCTGAGCTCCTTGCCTGGGCATTGTCCCAAGGGCTCGAGCTTGTGCCTCCACCGGTGCCAAAGCTCCAGCTAAAGTGCTTGAAACACCAAGAAAACCAATCAGTATTGCTCCTGCTGGGATCGGACTGGATGGTCTCAAGCACCAGCTGCAAGCGATTCTCCGCAACCATCAGCTCGTTGAATACACAATTGGTTGTATCATGTTTCCTTATTTTTTGCATGAAAGTGAGGTTGACTGGCGGCTAGCGATGATTTGGGGCTCAAACAAATTATAGAAGTGCCTATTTGACAAGCACTTGTTGCGAGTCTTTGCTCTGAAGACCAGCTCGTCAGGAGTTGTGAAGAAGACTGATTCTAGCTGTCAGATTCCTGGAGCAAAGCTCCCGCATTTTTTGCCTGCGTGAAACTCCTACAACTCGTGCGTTGACCTGGCTAAACCCCGTACACTCAGAACTAGCTTTTCTTCTTGCTATCCTGCACAAATTTTGCACCGGAGGCACAGCCCAGAAAAGTGGCATCAAAGGGATGACACCTGTGAATTTGCGGCCTTCTTCTTCTTGACTTGCTTATCGGACTTCTTGGATTCTTCAAATTCTTCCCCTGCAGCTGCAGCAATAACTTTGAGGCAAGGGAAAACGCAATTAGTTGCTGGAAAAGCCCATAAGCCGCAAGGACTAGTGTGCGTGCCTTCAGCCTCTACTTCGGCACGCGTCGCCTGTTAGTGTGGACCGTCTGGGCTTTGCTGACCGGATCGCACAACTGAGGGGATGACCCCAGCAGATCGTTCCTGGGTCTCGTGTGTCTTGTACCTGCTTGAACTTCACCGCAAAGTCACATGGACTAGAGGAAGAAAACTGGCACAAAGCCAGCCAGGCCTTTTGAGATACTGGGTGCACCTCAAATCTTGCTGGAAGAAGCACGTAGTTACAAGTGAAGAGCCACAACTGAGAACGGAGCATCAGCATGCTGATGTTCATGCCCATCAGCAAGTGCATCTTCCACCTGTGGAGAGATGCAATGACTGAGAACCTCATATAAATCCTAGCCAAAAAGTCGGCCTTATGCTCAGACACAAATCATTTGAAAAACTGTTTGCAAAAACGATATATATAATCATGCTAGACTGAAACAACTCTGCAACTGCGAGACTTCTCTGCCTATCCCAAAAAGTTGGGGCTGGTGTCGGCCCACCAACCTGCATCTCAACCACAAGGCTTGTTTGCACGCTGATCCAGGAATAAACAAAAGGTGAAGAGGATCCACTCACCAAACTACCAAGCTGTCATTAAAATCAAAGCTTGAAAACGGCATGCGTTTTTGGTGCATGCAATTATGTGAATGTGTGAATACACCTGTAAAAGGGTGTGTGGCCAAGAGCAACTAGAAGTGGAAGAAAAGATCGGGCGCATGACACAAGGAAAATATTCACAAAACTTCAGGACCGTGTATTTCTTGGCTCCCGTGGTAAGCTTATTGCTGGACGAGCATGATGCCGCGCAATCATCCTGTGAATCTCCCCAAAAGAAACTACTGTAGGTATACTGCCACAGATGGCCGTGTGCTTTTGTGTTCTTGTACATGATTTAATTGGAAGGTCTGAAGTGTAATGTTTGAATACAGCTCCTGACTGGGGAGATGAAAAAAAGTTTCCAAAACACCTTAGAGTTACGGTTCAACACTAGCACTTCACAACCCCCAGAAACTGACGACACCTCACTGATGTTTCACGTCTTCAGGAGTCGTCCATTCAAAAATTCAGTCGGAAATTGCCGAACATCTGCTGACGCCACATCTGCGAAACAAAGGGAAACCAAACTTTTCAAACACAACTCCGTCTATATCACGAACCAAAAAAATGCAGTACGATTCTCATCGAGGCTCAACCCCCAAAACCAACCTGTTAAACCTCACTGACACTGTCCAGAAACCCACAATCATCACGTCACCATAACCCATAACGCAATTACGTCATCACCATAATGTCATTACCCCCCACCCCCCCACCCCACGTGTGTGTGTGTGTATGTGTGTGTGTGCGTGTCTGTGTGTCTGTGATTCAGTGATGTCATGGTGAAGCACATGTTTGTGTACGAAGCGAAAACGACGTTTAAAAGAAAAGTTAAAAAGAAAACACATCGGCCATCTATGGCACGTGCTCCAACTACCAGTAGCAGCACCAAATTTCTGAGGTATCGCTGCACTTCAAACGCTGAAAACTCTTGGCAAATTCTTGGCCTCCGATTCCAAGCTGTGGCTAGACATGCTGGAACCAGAGCAATATAGAGCAAACCTCACCTCATACACAATCTGGCCGTCGCTCTCCTGAGCATCAGCATGCAGTCTCCAAACATCTAAAAACTTTGAAGGTGACAATAAATGGACCAACATGCTAAGAAACCTGCAGTTTGCACGTCTCCTTTTGCAAGCTTCACGCTAAATTCCCGCCACTCCTGCGCAGAGAGTATGTGATGGCAGCTGACATTTCAAACGTGTGATTATTACTCAAACAATGTTGTCCGCTCGATGTGTGTTTAACCGTTTAACCTACACGTTCACTGAAAACTGTGCTGTACTTGCTTGAATCAAGAATGCACTCAATTAATGAATCCATGTAGGCTGCTGGGAAGAAGGATGGGAGCTGAGAACCATGGTGTAGGGGTTCACACGGCAGATTGTTTAAGAATGACAAAAAGTTGATGCAGCACAAGTGCCCAGACCTGAACAAAACCGTTCTAGGCAAGAACGGTCTGGGCTGCAAGGGCGCAAGGGCACAACGCAGCACACTTGATCAGGAATGTGTCTAAAACTTTAAACTCGCACACCATTTACAGTGTCTGCCAGGGATCTGTGAATTTATACAGAGCCATTGATGGATGCTCCCTTTGGCTTGGGTACACTTCCCCGTGTTTGTTCTGCTTTGCTTTCTTCCGCTTTTGTGTTCTTCCTCACTTTGAAAAGGACGTCGAGAAACTAACAACAATCTTCACGTTTCAGCCTCCTGCTGGAATATCTTTGTTTTCGTTGTGAGGAACAAATTCTTTCTAATGTTGAGCCCAGGTGCAGCACACATTCTCTACTCACATCGAAAAAGCAAAAACCACCTGAAAACGCTCATGTCTAAAATGCTCAGCAAACCTAAGCCCTTCACCCAACATGCTCCACAATAATTCCCACAATCCACACTCCAATTCTCCCAACTCCAAAAGTCTACTGTCTTCCACCCTATCGACTCAAATCGCTTTCATGTGCTAGCTCACATTTGTGTGCTCTCATGGTTGTGTGCTCTCATTGTCTCAAATTGTATGTGTATTCTCAAAGCTGTGCTGTCATGTATGTATGTGTGTGCTGGAATACGTGTGCTCTCACGTGTTTGCTCACATGTGTGTGCGTCCTGACATGTGTTCTCTGTTCCGCGTGCTCACTTATTGCTTGTGTGACTTATGTGTGCTTTCATGCGTGCGTTCATGTTGTTCGCTCTCATATGTCTGCTCTAATGTGTATGTGCTCTAGAGCAAAGGAAGTTCGCTTATTCACCTTGTTTCTCTTCAACACTGTTTGGGCTCTCTTGCTGGGACAAGTTGCATTTTGTCATCAGGAAATCGGCAAATTTATGTCTTCAGAATCCAATGGCAAACTTGGCACACGTTTTTGGCCACTCTGTTGACAAGCCGTTGCAAAAACAAAACCATGAAGCTACTTGTAGGCCCCTTCACGGAACAGCGTTTGGTTCACACAGCATCAATGAACGAGGGGATTCGCGCAGGGAATTACATTTACTTGTCATGCATGCTGTGTGTATACAGGCATTCCAGAACAAAAGGTAGCAGTTCAACAGGCGATCAAACAAAGCAAGTTCCTTGCTGAAATCGGGAAAGGTGCTGTCAATGGTGTCTGCACCTCAAGCATGGCCAAACTTTTGCAACGCATCCCATCAAGCTGCCGGTGACTCATTGAGCGAAGTCTCCTTTCTGCAAGTGCAATAAGATAACGGCTGTCAGCGTCCTCCTCGTCAGCCAGCCTCCGAATCGTATACAAGTCATTCAGCTCTGCTCCCTTTGAGAATGGTTTGAGGGGCAATGTTTGGGTCAAGCTCAGATTGAAACTCGTGTCCACCATCTTCGGGTCTTCGTTTCATGTGCCTTGGCCAGTCACATATCAAACTGTCAGCTCTCGATTCAATCCACTTCTCCTGAGGGTCTAGCTTCTTGTAGGTCATCTTCAAATCTTTCATGAAAACGTCCTGTGAATGGTCCATAGAATAGAAGCGTCGAACAGGACTAAATCTGACATATGCTGGAGATTCACTTTCCGTCTGCGTGGTCACCCTTCCCTCCCTTTAAAGGACAATGACTTGGTCCAGCTTGGCATATCAAGAGCATACCCGGCATACCCTCTCTAGCCAAATGGGAAACGCTAGGGCGAGTGTCATTGTTTGCCTCTGAGCGGTTCAGGCGACTGCTGGAATTCAGTCTCCGGCAAAAAGTCTACAAGCAAAAGCGAAAAGGGCTCAAATTAGAAAAGCACTGGCATGTGCCAATGCAATGCAGACCCCCAAAATAAAATTGATATCAGGTCACCGCCACCTTCGCAAAGAGTCAATACACCCTTCGGTGACCCGCTTGCCTTTGTCAAACGTATTTTTTCCATCTGGCGAGGAGGCCTGAATTCGCCCCAATTCCAAGGCAGCGCTGTCACGGAAGACAGATTCGCCTCAAAAACCTCGTCGTCCCAAGTATCCAATACACGCTGGACGAGCTGCGCCTGGCTAATCTAAAGAAACATGGAGAGTGCGACGAACATCTCACTACTAAGAAATTGAAATCGGTGCGACAAACAGCCCCTCCTTGTCGCACTCGTCGCAGTGAAGACCTTTGCTCTGCAAGAGTGCCTGCGGCACGATGAAATGCATTTGATGCTGTTTCACTTGCATAAATTTCTTAATTCTGCTTAGTGAGTCTGCGTGGAGCTACAGTGTCCTCCCAAAGGCACACATTGTCGATGTTCAACTGAATGCGACAAGGTCGTATTCACACACACCTTCAGTTCATGAGCTGTCCGTCGCCCCAGCTCCTGCACTATCACCGTTATGGATGCTATGGCTATGGATCAACAAGTTCGTTACGTTTTTGCCCGATCCTGGGCTGTGGGCGCACGACCAGCCCACAGCTGAGCCAAAGGCTGCTCTCCTTCGGCGTTCCAGACTCGAAAATTCCACGAAGGGACGAAGGGAGTTGGGTCCTGCACGTCACCACCTCGTTACTACACATGAAAGAATGTGTGTGTGTGTGTGTTTTTGAGGGAACCATAGTACATGTGATTCTTTCAGCAACATGGAAATATGATCTGCAACCCGAAGTGTCCAGGTCCTTTGGCTTGAAGAAGGACAGTGCAGCAAAAAAGGGTCCTTCAATCAGAAAAGTTTCGTCCCGTGGGCGACGTGAACCCGAAAACAAAACAACAACGAACCCGAATGCAAAAACTGCGTGACAGGGACCATTGTTTGACACTCCTGTGCGACATTGTTGCATGGAGATTTTTTACAGTCTTTCTTTCTTTACATCCTTCGGGGGCGCAACACTCTTGTAGAACATTGTAGAACACCCTGTGGGACGCTCTTGCTTCACACTCTTGTAAAGCACCCTTGTAGGACACACTGGCGCGGCACTCTTTTGTGAGACTGTCCCACCCTTGCGCGACACTTTTCAGTTGCTTTCTTGAAGGACACTGTGGTCTGTCACTCTTGTGGCGCTCTTTGGCACTCTTCCAAGAGCCTGTACCATGGGGCACCTCAAGACGCCTATTTTTGCTTAATGCTCTTGTTGGACACATTACATTTGCTTGACGCGGCACACTTCTGCGACACTTTTGTGGGACATGTTAGTTTCACACCAGTCTTGCGGACATCGGGACCTGGATGTGGGCTGAGGCTGCGCGCATGCTTGTTGACCGACGAGACAACTGCCACTGGCAGTACACACACTCGGAAAAGTAACCTACAAAGGCTTTTGTCGGCTCCGCAGTTTGCCCAGCACAGCCGCGCACGGTAGGGTTCAATGCAAGCGTAGCCTCAAGACTGCTCCGCTTGCCCAACGTGACTCACTCACGCACACGATTCCCATAAACAGCCTTTTTGGGTGCTTCGAGGCGGTATGATTCAACAGGATGAAAGATTCTTTGTCACTGCCTCCCGGGCCGGCAGCATAAGGACCTGCTCCCAAAGATTTTCCGTATTGATTCATCGAGGTTTTCGTTCGATTGCCCAGGAAATAATCGGGGCCAAGGACTTGCTTTGGTTCAGTTTTTTGCTCGTTGGCTAGGGAACATCCGGTTTTCCAAACTTTCGACACTTCTTTGTCGGGGTTACTAGGATACTCATCTGCCACTAATTTGAGGTTGAAGCTACAGCTACAGCAAACTTTGCTCCAGATCTTCTGCGCAGCCTGATCAAAGACGATGGAAAGAGATTAACCTGGGAAAGAAGATCTATGACGGCGTTCAACAGCCCTTGCACTGTCAACAACCTTGGTTCACCACAGCAATCCACAACCAAGTGCCCAACACGCTTGGCAGGATCCGGAAGCCAAACTGAGCGACAAATGGTAGGAGCAAGGACGCTACTAAGAGCACACTGGATCCAAGGCGTGACCTTCGAAATGGCGGGACTGGGTCTCCAGCTCATCACGGAAACTTTGGCCGACACAAGTGGCACTTTGGAATCCTATGAATTTACAATGTGTATATAGTATATATATATATATTAAAATATATATAAACCAAGTTAGACTGACAACTGTCATGTGTGGAGGTCTGTTGAGAAAAACATGTGTGTGTGTGTCTGTGTGTGTCCCACCCTGGACAAAGGGTCTTACCCCACCACTTTCACACAGGCAGGGGGGCAGTGGACCACCATCACTCACTGCCCAACGAAGACAGTGATGGATCGGTCGTGAAGCAATGCGGGACGCCGCATTGTGTACCTGCTAGTTTGAACTTTTGCCCACGCTGTTCCAATCTCTCTTGTTTGCTTCCATGGTTGTTCACGTTTCCTCCCCCAAGCCTCACGGAGCTTTTTGCAGCTTAGCTTTGCAGCCGACTCGTAGCGCGCCGTTCTTTTCTGCAGACTGGAACAACTTTTTTGAAACACCTACAAGTTTTCGGACCTTGCCACCTTGCCGTTTCATCGCCTTTTTCCCATTGAGACACTTGCGTTAACTGAAAATCCAAGTTCGAAGTGTGTGAGATCATTGTCAATGTCCTCTGTATGGTTCCATGTCCCCAGCAGAGCATGAAAAGCGTTGATCGCCATCTACAATATCGCCCTCTGCAATGATTCTGGATCCACCAATGCACATAGCTGCGGAATGTTTAGCCGACCGGAATTTTTTCGGGACGTACTGTTTGATGGCCCAGAAATTGAAGCTGAGAGAACCAGTTCCACTGAATCTGGAACGCTGTCTGTTGCTTCGGTCTTTCTCAACAGCTGCCAAGCGCTACTTTGTAGCTGCTGTGGTCGCTGTGAAACCATGGCTACCTTGTCTTTGGCTGCGTCATTGCAATGCCTCGGTGAAGTACCCTCCAACAAACATGGATGTGGACAACCCCAAAGTTGCAGAAGAAAATTGTTTTCAAGGACCATTTCCACTTCCATGATTGTTGGAGGGAGGGTAACTGCAACAAGATGTTCAAGGGTCTCGCTTGCCTGTAACCTTCAAGACAATGCTGGCTCGCCTGGTCCGCATCTCGCTCTGCAGCAAAGCAACCTGCACTGCACCAGGTATGCAAATGGGCATGGTAAGTATTCAGCGTATTCACCACTCGCAATTCCAACTTTCTGGAGGCAAAAAGACATGCTTTGATTCGCTAGGGTAATTAGAGCAACCGACTCAGTCTCCACAAAATCGAACCTGTAGCTACTAGTACCAGCTATGCCTCTCGCCGTCTCTGGAGACGCCAGCGCTAAGTACCTTGCTGACAGTATTCGACGTTTTCACAAGCTGACTTTCGATCAACATGTTATTATCCTTTCTGTGTTCATGCCTTCTGCCCCTTTTTTTAAATTTTTTTTCTTTGACACCTGTGTTTTATTTATTTTGTGTGTGTGTCCTTTTGTTCCTTCTTTCATATATTTGTCTGTCCCTTTCTGCTATGTATGTTTTTCTGTCTTTCCGTTTTTCCCCAAGCAGTGTGGACACTAGGGGTTCTCACGGTAGTTGTTAAGCACCGGTGTCTAATGGGCAAATGTGGTGGGGTCCATTCTGATACTTTGGTGAGCAGGGACGGACGAAGTCAAGTTTTTGTAGGCTGTGACAGCGTTCAAAGGCACACTCGCCCAATTGGGCTAAAGTTGCTGGGAAGCAGAGCTCTTCCATGCTCTCACACCCGGAAAAGGCTTGCCCGCAAGTGATTCAGTGAGCTGCAAGTGGACTGCGGTGAGAGAGAGACATTGGGAGTAGCAACTCGGTCCCATCGAGGTGTTGCACCGGGCCGTCCGGCTAATTTGCTGCTATTCACAATACATTCATGTCTCAAAGTCCTCGAAGTGCATTTCGACTGCGCAGGCTCGCAGAATCTGGTCGGCCGCGGCGGGTGCTTGTCGCGACTGCGCTCTCGTTGTGGCGCCGCGCGCATTTTCGGACATGGTGGTCACTTTTCGTGGCAGGCGGAAGGGAAACGTGCTTTGGTGGCCCAAAGTCGACTTTTTGTGACAGGCGCAAGGGGTCGGAGTGGCTTTATACTTCGAAATGCAGATTTCGTGGTAGGCTTTCGTGACAGGTGCAGTATTGAGTGGTGACTTTTCTACATGTGGGTTGTTTTCAGAAGTCGGGGGACGTCTCGCGCGATAGCTGCGTTTTGGTATCTTGATGTTGTCTTTGGAAGCGCTCTTGCGGCAAAACGCCTTGTCAGAGCTGCCGCATGTGTATCTTGAAGTGCAAATTTCGTGGCAGGCGCAGCACTTTGTGAACCTCGAAGTGCAGATTTCGTGGCAGGCACAGCACTTTGTGAACCTCCAAGTGCAGATTTCGTAGCAGATGCAGCACGTTGTGAACCTCCAAGTGCAGATTTCGTGGCAGGCGCAGCACTTTGTGAACCTCCAAGTGCAGATTTCGTAGCAGATGCAGACTTTGCGAACCTCGAATTGCAGATTTCGCGGCAGGCGCGGCACTTTGTGAACCTTGAAGTGCAGATTTCGTGGCAGGCACAGCACTTTGTGAACCTCGAATTGCAGATTTCGCGGCAGGCGCGGCACTTTGTGCCCTCAAATGCTCACTCTCACTCACTCTCTCACTCTCTCACTCACTCACTCACTCTCTCACTCACTCTCTCACTCTCTCACTCTCTCACTCTCTCACTCACTCACTCACTCACTCACTCTCTCACTCACTCACTCACTCACTCACTCACTCACTCTCTCACTCTCTCACTCACTCACTCACTCACTCACTCACTCACACCCACAACGCCCACACTCATTCTCACCCACTCACTCACTCACCACACCCACACACACTCACTCTCACTCACACTCACACTCTCACTCACTCTCACACTCACTCTCACACTCAGTCTCACACTTTCTCTCTCCCTCTCACTCTCTCACTCACACTCACTCTCACTAGATCTCTAGACTTTCTACTACTACACCTCTA